TTCTTCGTAGTACTGTAAAACTATCCTTTTGATTTCAATAGGGTCTGTTGTAATGTCAACTCTTTTATCCCTTATTTTTGCTATTGAAATGTGTTCCCTCCTTTCTTTGGTTAGGTTTGCAAGTGGTCTGTCGATTCTGTTTATCCTTTCAAAGAGCCAATTATTAGCAGCATTAATTTTTTCCCATAGGTTTCTTATTTTCCCTCTCCAGAATATCAGCCCTGATTTTTATAACTTCTTTTCATTTGCTATTTGTAGGATTGTCCTGCTGACTCTGCTCTAGTTGTTGTAAACTTTGTGCCAGCATATCAAATATGAGTCTCTCTTCATAGCATCAGGCATAGCTCTTAAGTTTTCTTCAGCTTCTCTGATGATCTTATTAGTTTTTTGTTCACGTTTGTTACAGTCTGCTTGGCTGTCCTCCAAGTCACTGATGCGGTTCCCTGATTCCTTCAGTCGATTCTTGAGGTCTGTGTTTCTGTTACTGGTTTTCTGTTTTCTCCTCCCTAAGCTCCTGTATTTCCCTTTGGTGTATGGCTTTTATCTCCTCTATCATTTCATCCTTTTTCTGTATTGTTTCCCTCATATCCTGTATGACTCCAAGCAGCAATCTGAAATTTTATTTCTGTGCAACTCAATGTCTGCTTCTTCTATGTATGTTGCTATGTTCAGGACATCTTCTGCCATTGCTTTTTTTTTCTCCTGTTTTTTGTTGTTGAGTTCGTTGGGGCTGATGACTGCTTGCATTGTATTGTTTTAGCGGAGCCAGATGCCATTTTCCAGGGAGTCCAAAAACACTGTATCTCTCTGGGAGACTTGTAGGAATGCTTCTTTGAACTGCCTACAGCTAATTTTACTATGGGTTTATTCTACCACTTTATCCTCCTGTGCTTCCCTATCAGGGGAGTGCCCCAGAAGGCTGGTGGGTTGCCTGCTTTGGTGTTTCAGAGGTTGGGCAAAGGTTCCTGCAACAGCTTGGAATGTTGATAAGTGTTCACCGAGCTGCCTTATTCCCCCACGTACACAGGCAGGAATTCCCCGGTGAGACGTTGGGCAGAGTATCCCATGGAGGGAAAGAGGGCTTTCCCTAGCCTTGGGCTAGCTACACAGGCTTGAGCTCACCTAGCTGGGTGTGGTGCAGGCATAACAGTCCTAAGCTAAGGGGAGTGGTCTGGAGGTCAGCAGTGGAGTGTGAGAGAACAGGAAAGAGACAAAGAGGAAAAAAAATTAAAAAGTAAGACCGCTTAGACTGTGCGTGAATATAGGGAAGAGGAGAAAACAATAGCAACTATGTAGCTGAGTTCCACTCCCCTCCCGGGGAGCTGCAAGGGTTTAGTCTCTGCCCCAAGGCAGCGGCGGCAAGTCACAATTGAACTGAGAAAAAGCCCCTGAGCAGCCCTCAAAGACTGTGGGGGGACAGAGGGCAGAGATGTAAACAAAAGCAAAAATGTAGCTGAACCCCAATACCTGCCCGTGGAGGTGCGAGGGTTTAGTCCCCGCCCCAATGCAGTAGTGGCAAGCTGTGGCTGTGCCAAGAAAAAGCCCCTGAGCAGACCTCCTGGACTATAGGAGAACAGAGAGCAGAGATGTAAACAAAAGCAACAGTGTAGCTGAACCCCCATCCATGCCTGTGGAGATGCAAGGGTCCAGTCCCTGCCCCGAGGCAGGCATGGGCAAACTGCGGCTATGTTGATACCAAGCACCCTTATGGGCTCCAAATGGTCCCGGTCCAGCAGAGACAGTGGCAGGGCCAAGGTTAAGCCCCAGCCAGCTTCCACTGCGATAAGCCAAAAGCCCCCAGCACCTCGAAACCCGTGGGTCTGTGCCTACTTATCTTATAATGCTCCTCCTGTATTCCAGCTGTGTTAAAGTTCCCTCTAAGCAACTCTCCTGGGCTGGATTCTGCAGAGTGCCTCTGGTATGTGTCACTGTGTCACCATCTTTCCAGAAGTCCTGTCTGGCAATTCTTACAGAAGACACTATTTTTCTGATTTTGTTCCCCCAGCCAATCTTTGCATATGCTTTCTTCTGGTGGGCTCAGGCCAATTGGATCAGAAGGATTTGGTCTGTCGATCCTGATTAAATATGACAATTTCAGTCATCAAAGTGCTTCTCAAGTATGTGTTGAGAAGACCCAGATATTTGTAAGTCTTTGTCACTTATTATTCAAAAATAGTATTACCACATGTGTTACTATTAGTCTTACTTGCAGATTAATTCATTCTTATTCATAGTAATCCTGGCACAACAACAAATAACCAGTATCTGGTCCTGTGCCATCCCCACAATTCTTGCTATGCTTGAGCCCATTGTTGTAACCACAGGTGTCAACCATCCCACTGAGGTTCTTTCTCTTTTCCACTGACCTTTATTTTAGCAAGCATTATTTTTACAAGGCAATGGTCCCTCTGGATAATATGCCCAAATTACATTAGTTGAAGTCTTGCCATACTTACTTCTAAGGAGCTCTCTGGGTATATTTCTTCTGTGGCATATATTTTTGTTGTTGTTTTCTGACAATCTATATTACTGTACTACTGTCTATGCTATATTCAATATTCTCTGCCAACTTCATAATTCAAATAGATTGATTATTCTTCAATATTCATTTTTCATGGCCCTTTTTCACATGCCGATGTTGCAAATACCATGGAATGGGTAAGAGTCATCTTAGTTCTCAACGCGACATATTTGCTTTTTTAAATGTTCAAGAAGTCTTTGGCAACACATCTGCCCATTGTATAATATCATTTAACTTCTTGACTGCTGAAATACATGAGCATTGTTTACAAATCCAAATAAAATGAAAACAGGGACAACTTCAATCATTTCTCATCTATCATTGTATTGGTCCAATTGTGAGGATTCAAAAAATGTTCTTTAAGTTGAATTGTAATCTATAGTTATATGACGGGTAACTCCCCCCCAAATGGATTTTTTTTCAAAGATATGTATTTATTTATTTTACAAAATAACCTCATCACCTTCAAAGCACTCTCTATTACACTTAATACATTTGTCAAATCTGTGAATCTATTTGTGGAAACATTTTTCAAACTCATCTGTTTGGATGACTGAAGCACCTCCCTCGTTTTTTTTCTTCATCTCTTCTATGTCATCAAATTTCATTCCTTTCATGTCCCTCTGCATTCATGGAAACAAAAATAAGTGACACAGAGCAAAATCAAGTGAGTAAGGTGCATGTGCAAAATAGGGATGCTAATTTTTGCTGAAAACTGGTGCGCGGAGCTGGCTGTGTAAGCATTCTTGTGGTGCCTAAACTAGTTCCCCATTGCCACAAATCAGGCCTCTTATCCTATTTTTTTCAAACATAAAAATAGAAAGCTTGATTAACAGTCTGACCTGGTGGAAAGAACTCCAAATGCACTAAAGGCAACATTTTTGTCTGTTCAGGAAGTTGATAAACATTCACAATACAGTTTGTCATCAATTGACATTTCACCTTTTTTGAAATGAGAAAACACTCATAAGTGCAATTGAGATTTTCCATACTGCTGTCCTTGTAAGCTGTGTTCAACATCACAAGTGTTTCTGTCACATTTTACCCCAGGAGGAAACAAAATTTCACAGCCGCCCACTGTTCTCTTAAATTGGCCATCACAAAAAATGAGGTTGGCACAAAACTTCTTTTACAAAAAAAATCACTGTCACCAGAGAGAACCTTCCCAGATGACAGAGCAAGTTCCTTGATGCTTGCCTAGTGGAAAAACAAATGAGTACGGTGAGAGCTTGACTCTGCCCAGTGTAATTCCATTTGGGGGGGTACCCCCTCCTGGTCTTTGATGTTCATCAATATTTCAAGTCCTCTCCATTTTTAGTAAACAAAGTGTGTCACTTGTGTATTGCAAGTCACTAATGAGCCTTTCCCCAAGCCAGATACCACATTCTTCTTCGTATAACCCAACTTCTTGGATTATTTGTTCAGCATATACATTGAAGAGGTATACTGAAAGGATAGAATCCTGACACATAACTTCTCTTGTTTGAAATCATATGAGCTTTTTCGTTGTCTCCTTGCATACTTATATTCAATTAGATTTCTGTGAGGTCTACATATATCATTACCATTTATGTTGTTGTAAAAAGGGTATTTTCAATGAATAAATTGCTGATCTTAAAAAATACTACCATGTTATCTCCATTATTGATTTATCACTAAGGTCTTATTTTCCAATTATTGATCCTTCCTCTGTTTTCAACATTCGCATCTCAATCACCAGTAATTATCAAAGCACTTTTTTTTCCCAATCAAATTTTATTAAAACTAATTTTTAAAGGCACGACATCTTGGCAGAAGAAAATCTCCTAAGAAAACCTTTGTTTATAATGATCAAATCGATGAGTCCTTTGCACAACCCAGGGCCCGGGCCCAACAAGAGACCCCTGGAGGCAGAGGTTGGTCACACTTCTGGAGAACGCAGAGATGACCAAATATTAATATAAGGCAGAAAGCAGAGCACCCACCTTGGCAATTCCAACAAAGAAAAGGGGTGTGTGTGGGGGGGTGCGAAATGTATGGCAACTTTCCTTCATCAAACAGGTCACCTTATGGAAGGCTCTGAGAAGGACAAACTAGTAGTCAGAGCCATTGGCTTTCTCAGAGTATGTTCTCTCCCCGCTTGGTGCGATTATTCACATTGAATTCAAAGGAAGAGCATGAAATCTCCCAAAGTGAAGCTGACATTGCCAAGATCTTTAGCTTGGTTGGGAAATTCAGTAGGAGAATTTCCGAGTAGGCTACTGGCTACTCATAGCAACAACAGAAAGGAAGAAGGCAGGCAGGCAGAAGTAGAAGGAAGTTTCACACAAGCTTCCTGCCCCGACCCTTTGTTCAAGCAGACAGTGGACCCACACTCCACCAGGGTGCATTCTGTTATGGAGTGCAGCCCACTGCCAAGAGACAGGCATGGACAAGCAACAAGAAGAGCCTCACTGCGATGTCCCCAGACCAATTCCCTCCCCAGCCCTCTATCCTTAAGGCTGCTGGCTTCAGATTCCCCTGGGCATGCCCGGGCCAAACACAGTCTCTGTGTCAAAAGGATGAGATGCTAGGTAATGTTTATATTCCCCATCAATCAGTTTGGCAGCAGTGTTGCTGGTGAACCAGCAGTCAATCTCCTCTTCCCCATTGTAGATCTTCCTTTGTTTCCAGACGACTGGGATTTGGTGCCCTTTCACCTTCAGGACAGTCTCGGACCTCTGGTTGGTGGGCGGAAACGGGGGAATACCACAGTTCTTGCTCTGCTCTGCAGGCTCCTCTGTGAGCTTAGCATCCTGGTGCAGGAACTGACCTAAGAGCCCATGGCTGCTGCTAGAAAGGCCTTTGCTATTGGAGATGTAGAAGCCCAGGTAGGGCGCTGGCATTTTGTAGAGGTGAACTAGGATGACAAAGGCAATAGTGCCCTGGATGGTGACGGTGACATTGGCATTGGCAGATACTGAGACCTCCAGTCCCTGAGTCCCCACCATCACACTCTGATTGCAAGGGAGGACAGCCGGTCACTCTCTTGGGTGTGATTTCAAGATAAGATCTCTCTAGCTTATTGATGAGGATGGTGATAGTGTGGAAGTACATGTGCTGTTTCTTGTGGCCATTTGGAGGAGCAGGGGCCCGGATTAACTCTCCATTCACAGTCACACCAGAGCCCAGGTGATCAGAGACTAGCCTTAGAATGTCTCCCAGTTGTCCATCAATGTGAAAGCAGACCATGAGCTGGCTCGAGGGGAAATCCGCCACAAAATGGGGGTCTCCATCCGCTGATGTTTTGGAGATTTTGATTCTTGGGTCGTATGGTTTCTTGAGAGCAGGCCCTGCTTGCATGTTAGCTCCTTGTAAGCTTTGCATCACTGTTTCAGGGCCTGCCACGGCTGACATGCCACCATAGCCATGCTCTAGGCTATCTGTGTGAGTCTTTTCAGCTGGTCGCTTTAGCTTCATGGAGGTGAACGGGGTAAGGAAGTGGTAATTCACCGCCAGGGTCCCAGCCTTCTGCCTCAGCCACTCCTTCTCCTGCTCATCATCAGTCTTCAGCCAGGCATTCAGCAGGTCCTTCACGGTGAGGTAGCTCCAGAGACGCTCGACGTGGTTGGGGTCCTCCTGGCCATCACCCTTGGGCCTGGAGCTACCTGTGACATCATTCCCCTCTTTCTGGGGCTCCACGGGCACATCTGTCTTCAGTAAGACTTCTTACTGTTGCTGGCTGTGACCTCCACGTGCAATTGATCCATTTTCCTGTCTGCCAGCTTCCCAGCAATGATGATTTCTGAGCCATTGAAGTAGTTGGGGAACAGGGTTTGGGTGGCATGCTTCACTAAATTGGGTGGGTAATCAATGCGGATATCTGAGAGAAGTGGGGTCCTGATCTCATCGTAGAACCCGACGAGCTGAGCACTGGCATCGTCCTCCTCATGAACGCAAAGTGTGAGGCCACAGTTCTCCAGCAGTTTGAAGTCCACATCATTCCCAATGCCAATGGTGAAGATGCAGACTTGACCTCGGGCGGCCTCCTTGGTGTTGTTGAGAATCTTATGGGTATGGGTCTCCCCCACAGTGGGTTTCCCATCCGTCAGGAAGATGATGACGGGCACACTCCGGTCTTCAATGTCATTGTGGGATGTGTAGTTGTTGAGCAGGCTGATGCCCCTCTGAAGGGCCGCGTTGATATCTGTGCCTCCACTGGGTGACATGTGGTGAATGTAGACTTTGCCGTCCTGGATGTTGTTGGGTGTGAGTTACACCAAGTGGTCCTTCCACACTTTGATCCGGTTGGAAAATCCAATGATATTGAAGTGATTCTGGGGCCAGAGGTTATGGAGGATGGTGAAGAGGGCATCCTTGGTCTGGCGGAGTTTGGTTCCTACCATGGATGCGCTGCTGTCAAGCACAAATACCACATTCTTGGGTAAAGGTGAAGGTCTTTAGGTGCAAAGTAGTGCACAAAATAGCCATTCAGAACCTGGATGTCTTCAATGCTGTGTTCACTGACGACATCATAGCTAACGATGAAATCTCCCAAAATGCCATTCTTGGCTATCTTGGCTTGTGTACCACGCTAGGCTTAAAAATGATCTTAGCAAAAGTTTCATTTTGGTTGGTAGCAGTAGAAGGAGGAGGCCCTGAATCACCTTCCTCCTTCCCACTGCCCTTCTACCTGCTGTTGCACAGTGGAGGCACCTCCAGGGAAGCACTGCCGGACCGCTCCAGAACATTCACTTCCACAGTAAGCCTCCCAACCAGCTGCTGGGGTCGAACGCTGATGACGTGCTCATACTTCCCAAGCCGTCTCTGCAAAAGCTCTTCATAACTTAAGAGGAAGACAGCTTTGTCCTTGCTGGGAATCACTGAAGACGCTCTGAACAGTTCCGTCCCCTTCTCCCGGTTCTCTTCTTTGGTTCTATTCGTTTCCTGTTTTGCCCTGTTGCTATTTTTCTTCTCTTTCTCTGTGATTTCACCCTGATAAACTTTGTCTCCAATAAGCATAGTGAAGTTGGTGATGAACGACGCAGCTGGAATCTGCATCTGGAACTCAGCGTCCTGGTCCTCCGAAGCTCTATTCAGCACTCTGCAGGAAACCGTCGTGAAGGAATACCGAGAAATGATGGTCGACTTCACGGAAAATTCTTTCATCAAAGGTTTGGTTTTCAGCCTTTGAAACAGTCTCAGTTGCCTGGGGACCCTGTGTCTGACCAGAACACGCGTATCAAAGCATCTTGATTGCAATTTCAGACGGAAGAAGTTGGTAGAATTCTTCAATTTCTCTATCATTGACTTTAGTAGTTGGTACATAAAGTTGAATAAGAGTTGTATTAGCCAGGCTTCCTCATAAGCATAAATATATTATCCCAGCACAAACAGCATTACATTTCAAGATAGATCCTGCAATATTCTTTTTGCAGAATGAGATGCCATTCCTCCTCAAATTGTTATTCCTGGCCCAGTTTTGATGTGATTATTACATTAAAAATAGTTAATACTAGTTCATTTCATCTCATTCCTTAGGTGTTCCATTTAATTTTTGATAATTTCCTATTTTCTTTGACTTGTATTTTGCATATTTCATGTTCCAGTTTCCATCTGTTTCTTCTAATTTTGAGTCTTTCCCCATCAGCAAATGAAAGTTTTGAAATATTTTCTCATCTTTATCATTATTTCTAATATACTTTTAAGAAATAACTCTTCTCAATCTTATTCTGAGTGTCTTACAATATGAGGAACTCATCTTCCTGTACTACATCAATGTTTTTCTACTATTCAAAAGATTTTCTATGGCTAATTTTTCAGAAATTGTCAGGTTTTTTCCTTCTTCCTGGTCTGTCACAGTCTGGCAGCTCTGCCGAAACCTGTCCAAAATAAGTGAACCTAGTGGTATTTGAAATTCTAGCATGACACCATCAAACAAGCCACAAGAGTATCATAAGCTGATGGATGAAAGCTGGTCAATATTAACACTCTAAATATAAAGTTTTAGGAAAGTAAACTTTTATAGGCATTTGAAAAACTAAAACCTCTGATGTTTTCATTTGCTTTTTTAAAAAGAGATCCAATTGACATAAAATTACCCTGCCATTTTTCCATGTCTGTTTACTTTTAGTGGAGAACTGATGTTTCCAGTTCACAGATTTGTTGGTGCTGTTCACTCCCGACACTGTAAGCATGAAATGGAGTGCACGATTTCAATAATGCATGTTGTCCTTCTTCCTTTCTGGTGGCCATATCTGTCAATATCTTAGTTTGTTAAATGGAAGAGGTAGAAAGATAGGCTGATGCTAATGGACATATAGAGAGTTCAGACTGAGTAAAGATCATGTATTTTGAAAGAGGACTTCAAATCGCTGTGGAATTTTTAATTACAATTTTTAAAAATCATTTTATTGGGGGTTCATACAACTCTTATCACAATCCATACATACATCAATTGTGTAAAGCACATTTGTACATGCGTTGCCCTCATCATTCTTAAAACATTTGCTCTCCATTTAAGCCCCTGGCATCAGCTCCTCATATTTGTTACCTCCCTCCCCGCTCCCCACTCCCTCATGAACCCTTGATAATGAATTATTATTTTGTCATGTCTTACACTGTCCAACGTCTCCCTTTACCTACTTTTCTATTGTCCATTCCCCAGGGAGGAGGTTATATGCAGATCCCTGTAATCAGTTCCCCCTTTCGACCCCACCCTCCTTCTACCATCCTGGTATCGCCACTCTCACCACTGGTCCCGAAGGGATCATCTTTCCTGGATTCCCTGTGTTTCCAGTTCCTATCTGTACCAGTGTACATTCTCTGGTCTAGCCAGATTTGTAAGGTAGAATTGGGATCATGATAGTGCTGGAGAGGAAGCATTTAGGAACTAGAGGAATGTTGTATGTTTCATCATTGCTACACTGCACCCTTACTGGCTCATCTCCTCCCCGAGACTCTTCTGTAAGGGAATGTCCAGTTGCCTACAGATGGGCTTTGGGTCCCCACTCTGCACTTCTCCTCATTCACAATGATATGATTTTTTGTCCTTTGATGTCTGATACCTGATCCCTTTGACACTTCATGATCACACAAGCTGGTGTGCTTCTTCCATGTGGGCTTTGTTGCTTCTGAGCTAGATGGTCACTTGTTTACCTTCAAGTCTTTCAGACCCCAGACACTATTTCTTTAGATAACCGGGCACCATCAGCTTTCTTCACCACATTTGCTTATGCACCCATTTGTCTTCAATGATCATATCAGGGAGGTGAGCACATAATATGATTTTTGTTCTTCGATGCCTGATAACTCATCCCGTCGGTACCCTGTGATCACAAAGGCTGGTGTGCTTCTTCCATGTGGGCTTTGTTGCTTCTGAGCTAGATGGTCACTTGTTTACCTTCAAGTCTTTCAGACCCCAGACACTATTTCTTTAGATAACCGGGCACCATCAGCTTTCTTCACCACATTTGCTTATGCACCCATTTGTCTTCAATGATCATATCAGGGAGGTGAGCACATAATATGATTTTTGTTCTTCGATGCCTGATAACTCATCCCGTCGGTACCCTGTGATCACAAAGGCTGGTGTGCTTCTTCCATGTGGGCTTTGTTGCTTCTGAGCTAGATGGCCACTTGTTTACCTTTAAGTCTTTAAAACCCTAGACACAATATATTTTGATAGCTGGGCTCCATCAGCTTTCTTCACCACATTTGCTTATGCACCCACTTTGACTTCAGTTATTGTGTCAGGAAGGTGAATATCATAGAATGCCAGTTTAATAGAACAAAGTATTCTTGCCTTGAGGGAGTACTTGAATGGAGGCCCAATGTCCATCTGCTACCTTAATACTAAACCTATAAATCTATGCACATAGATCTATTTCCTAATCCTCATATATAAATATATTTACATATGTATATACCTGTATTTAGACCTTGATAAATGCCCTTTGCTTCCTAGTTCTTTCCTCTACTTCCTTTTACCTTCCTCTTGTCCCACTGTCATGCTCAGCCTTCGTTTGGGTTTCAATAATTCCTCTCGGTTACATTACCCTTAGTCACACCCTACCAGGCCTCCTACACCCTGCTTACCACCGATTTGGATCACTTGTTGTTCCCTTGTTCCTGGGTTTGTTAACACCACTTCTTTTACCCCCACCTCCTCCTCTCCAATAACCCACTGAACTGTCGGTCCCATGTTTTCTCCTCCAGATTGTTCATCCATCCTATCTTATTTAGACAGAACTGCGGAGATAATAACGTGCACAAAAATAAGACAGAGAAAAACCAAGCAACAAAGGAAAAAAACAACAACAACAAGCCAATGACAAAAACAAACAGCACAACAACAAAAAAGAAAAGCTTGTAGTTAGTTCTAAACTGTTTGTTGGCCTGTAGGAGTGTTTTCTGGTCAAGTTGGTTGGGGTGCCAAACCCTGGCCCCAAAGCCTATTTTTGGTATTCCCTGGGCACTTTGTTGTTCTGTTCCCCTTGCAGTTTTGTTGCACGCCCTTAGTGTTTTGCCTCGGTGTGGTGGAATCAGATCAGGTGCAATTCCCTCACTGTGTCTCTAGTGTTGTCCCCTGTAGGGCTATGAGTCAGTGAGGGATGTTTTGTCTCATAGTGGGGCCGGCCATATGGTCTTCTCTGTGGATTGGCTGCTCTGAGTGGGAATATTGTCCTCAAGGCCTGGTGGTCCAGGTGGTGCTCCACTCTCTCTTCCTCTCCCTTCATTTGCTTCCATGTGCTGTGATCAGACATGTCCCTCTTCTTGAGCTGCAGCTTCAGTGTTGTCCTCTGAAATAATTTTTTCTGGAGGGAGGGTCAGGTGTCCATCTACTTGGAATTGGGGCTGGCCCCTAATAAAATTAAGCCACCTGGTATAATTATCTGAGGAGTGAAAGTTCTGCAAGAAGAGATTGCTACATTTCTAAGAAAAGTACATAAGAGTCACACCTCCAAATATCTAGCTGCCATTATATTTGCTCTGAATTTGGAAACATTGGTGGACTAAATATTATTCTTTTGACAGTCATTATGCAAAGATAGATCAAAACTCTGTTTAAGAAAAACATCAAGAGAAAATATTTGGAGAATTTCTCACCAGGTCGTTTATTCCATAAAGCTTTTAAAGGCTTGATATACTTTTGTATGCATATTATTTTTCAGGATCTTCATTAAAAACTGTAACATAAGGTTTCCTCTATGTTATTAATACATCTTAAAAATATTTAGGGTTGCAGTTAGATATGAATAACAAATTACTTAACTGTTATATTATTTTCTGTCATTTGAACGATTCCCAATTTATTTACAAATATAAAAAGAAATAGAATTAACACAATTTTGTACTTTTAGATTTTTAACTATTTGATAAGAGTCTTGGTTATTTCTGTATCTGGTTTTATCAATTACATTATGTGGTCAAATATTTTCCCTTTTTTTACCCAACAGAAAACTATGGTTTTCTGTATAGATGTATATAAATTGTATAAATGAAAGTAACAATTTTAATAATTGCTACTAGAGTTCCAGACCCTGCATACACATGTTTATTATAATGAAAGCAAGTTAAGCATGTCTCTGTGGTTAAAGGATTGGTGCAGATAAGTTCTCTTAGTAACATACTTTTCTTAGTCTCACTTTAGAGTCTACAAATAAAAATCTCAATCAATGGAGTGGTTTTTAGGGAATCTGATGGGCTTGCTAAATTTATGATGGAGAGGAAACTCAAAAAGTTAAGGCAATTGGTTATTAGGATTCCAATGATATAATTATGATAGCTTTTCTCCATTGGTGCTCATAGGCATATTATGAAGAAATTTTATGAAAATTTGAAGCAGCACTAGTAAGAAAGAGGCTAGGAAAGTTGTATTTTTCATCGTTGCTACATTGCAGCCTGTCTGGCTTGTCTCCTCCCCGAGACCGCTCTGCAAGGGGATCTCCAGTGGCCTACAAATAGGCTTTAGGTCTCCACTCCACACTAAATGCTTCCTCTCCCCTGCCACTATCATGATCCGAATTCTACCTTGGAAGTCTAGCTAGACTAGAGGATGTACACTGGTACAGATAGGAACTGGAAATACAGGGAATCCAGGGTGGATGATCCCTTTAGGACCAGTGGTGTGAGTGGCGATACTGGGAGGGTAGAGGGAGAGTGAGTTGGAAAGAGGGAACCGATTACAAGGATCTATATGTGATCTCCTCCCTGGGGGATGGACAACAGAAAAGTGGGTGAAGGGAGACGTCGGACAGGGCAAGATATGACAAAATAATAATTTATAAATTATCAAGGGCTCATGAGGGAGGGGGGAGCGGGGATGGAGGGGAAAAATGAGGACCTGATTGGGGGGGGTGCTTAATGAATGTACAAATGTGCTTTATACAATTGATGTAGGTATGGATTGTGATAAGAGTCATATGAGCCCCTAATAAAATGATTAAAGAAAACAAAACAAAACAATAAAAACCACTAAAAAAAAAAAAAGAAAGAAAGAGGCTAGGATATTTGAACTGAAGAATTGTTTTTTCACAATGACAGGGTACCTGTTTATTCTTTGAATGTTGCAGAGGATATCTTATGATAATTTCATTGAGAAATATTATATTACTTCACTAACAAAACAGCACTGATCATGCCCTGTCAGACTCCTTTTATTCCTCAAACTCACAGAACACTGAAAATGAACACAATAGGAATCCTTAGAAGATTCAAAAACTGTTGTCTGTATGTGGTATAATTTGAAAAGCACAGGATTCTATGTGGAAATGTTAGAGATATAGAAATATTGCCTTCAGAAGTGTATATTTCTAGATTTGGGGTCAATAAGGAAACAACAGCTTCATTTTAAAATACATTTTTTGTTTAATAACAATTTCTGTGATTTTATAGCACAGTTGTTTTACATAGCCTCATATATTAAAATATAACCACTGGTCAATTAATTATACAACCAATCTGTTATCTCAAAGACCATTGTTATTAAATGTTAGCTTGAATATTTAAAATTATTTTCAGCACTTTATTTATATTATTACACTTCTTATTCTGGTGCCAAGAGAATCAATGACAGCTAGAACAGGGATCAAATCCCAAGTCTAACAT